ACTGTTACCTACTTATGATTAGACTGTTACCTACTTATGATTAGACTGTTACCTACTTATGATTAGACTGTTACCTACTTATGATTAGACTGTTACCTACTTATGATTAGACTGTTACCTACTTATGATTAGACTGTTACCTACTTATGATTAGACTGTTACCTACTTATGATTAGACTGTTACCTACTTATGATTAGACTGTTACCTACTTATGATTAGACTGTTACCTATTTATTTTTGGGTACCCATTTTGGTATCTAGTTGGCTTGATATTTGTTTCCTTTCAATGATGTTTTCAGCTTTCTTCGGCCCTTTGGTTGCTTTCATCGCCCGAGGCTGAGGCACGAAGTGCCGAATTGGCAATCTCTATTTTGGCCTTGTATGTTGCATTCGAATGCTAGGTTTGAGGCATGAAGTGCCGAATTGTTAACTGTTATAATGCATTCAAATATCAATCGAGGATGAGGCACGTAGTGCCAAATCGTTATCTATTATGTTATCTTAGAATGAGGCACGTAGTGCCAAATTGTTATCCTATTTGGTAATCCGATGATGAGGCACGTAGTGCCGAATTGTTATCCATTTGGTAGTACCCCAAAGCATAATTTTATATATTATATATCTTTCTATAATAATTATACCTTGACGTACTACCGCAAGTATACTATCTTTTGGGTCACTGGAAGCCTTTCTCGCATAGTTGGTGCTTTGGAGTATTACCTCTCCATGTAAAAAATCATCCTATGCTTTGTCGTTTTACTATCGAAAAATTGATCATACTTTGGTGTACTACCGATTCGAAAAATTGGATCATACTTTGGCGTACTACCGAATCAAAAAATTGGATCATACTTTTATGTACTACCGATTCGAAAATTTTATTCTTACTTTTGCGTACTACCACATCGAAAAATTTCACGCTTTTGCGCATAATTCCATCACACGAATTTTTATTGATACCTAAATTAGGCAACACAAAAATGGTTATCGAGGAAGCTGAGCTTCGAGTCTCTGACTCATACATACCTTATATATCGGAAGTATTAATTTTTTATTTGTCTGCATACTCATTGTAAGAGGCGACAAAAACCCCCTTACCCAAAATGTATGGCTAGATATACTCCCAGCCAGAGTATTCTGGTCACGTTATTTTGAAATAACAATTATGCATATTCAATGAGAGCTAAAGAGCGGGTTTTTAATTCTTTTTTGTATGGAGTGGTAGGAACCTTCATTTTAGCCTTGAAATTTTGTTTATATTCTAGGAAATCAATTTCATTCATACTCTCGCGCTCTTTTTTCCCCCCTTTTCCTCTCTAGTTCGGAAAAAGATTATGTGTTAAAGGTTGGTTAACTATCAAAAGTGATAGCATTATTACTGTATGAGATCTCTTCTCCATTATCACTATATGAGACCTCTTCTTCATTATCATATACATGTATATCATAACAATAATCGTAATTAGATGTATCTATCATTGCATTTTCAATATCTCCTTGAAAGTATATACACAGTGGGTCTCGATTTAACGGACCTCGATTTAGCGGATTTAGGGGTTTAACGGATAAATTTTCAAAACCAAATTTTTCTATAATTATTTTATCTCGATTTAACGGATTTAACGGATTTTAATATATATTCGATTTAGCGGATATTTTTTAAAAATCCATATATGTCACTTATAATAAAATTCTCTCGATATTACGGATAATGATGATTCTTGCCTTTTTTGGATAGCCTAATTTTATAATAATACAGTAATAAGCGTATAATAAATAAGCGTAATGATGTATTATTAATATTAAATATTAACAACATTTTAATCGAACATATTGTTAACTATTTCTTGGCAATGGCACTTGTATATAATGTCATTTTTTTTTATTTCTTTAAATGCTGACGAATTTATTATGAAATGACAGAACAAGAAATTGTAAACATAGTGTTGGGGAAATCTGAAGTTGAAGATAATGAGGGTGTTGATAAGATAAGCGAGCCAATTGTAACAAATACAGAAGCTATAAATGGTTGAAAATGCGCTTAAATATATACAACAAAAATATTTAGAAGTTGATCCTCAAATAATTAAAAATATATAAATATATTGAAGTTGAAAAGAGAAAATTTCTTATAGAAGCACCCAAGAAGCAAAATAATGTTGCATTGATGAATTTATGGGTTGACAATGATATTATTATTATTATTATGTTATATTCTGTTTTTTATGTATATACAACAAAATAAAAAAATTTTTTTTGTACACATTTAATTTGTATCACATGATTTGATCATAAGTTTCGATTTAGCGGATCTCTCGATTTAACGGATAAATTTTCTGGAAAAAAATATCCGTTAAATCGAGACTCACTGTGTATACTCATTTATAAGATCCCCTAACATTTCTCATGAAAAGAAAAATATCATGTTTCTATCTCGAGCAAAGTATTTATTATATGTCATTGATAATGAAACAAAATCTTTATAAACACAGGAAATAACATCATTAAGACAAGATTTTAAAATCTTTCCTTTATACCATGCTGATAGAGTATTATTAAAATGAGAAACCCAATTATTAAGTCGAAACGCATATAAATTACAGATAGCTCGAAACCCTTCAGAGCGCCAGATATGATTGACTGTAATAATCTTAAATAGAATCTCCTTGAAAGTATATATACTCATTTATAAGATCTCCTAACATTTCTCGTGAAAAGAAAATATCATGTTTCTATTTCGAGCAAAGTATTTATTATATATCATTGATAATGAAACAAAATCTTTATAAACACAGGAAATAACATCATTAAGACAAGATTTTAAAATCTTTCCTTTATACCATACTGATAGAGTATTATTAAAATGAGAAACCCAATTATTAAGTCAAAATGTATATAAATTACAGATAGCTCGAAACCCTTCAGAGCGCCAGACATGATTGACTGTAATAATCTTAAATAGATCCTCATCTTTAGAAAGATGGCTAAATATATTTTCCAAAATTTCTGGTACTAATAAAGCGTGTGTTGCAGGAGAAATAGCGTTAATATTCATAATTATTTTTCTGATTATCTATTAATATAACAACTAAATAAAAAGTTCTAGTTAATAAAATCTCAAATAGATAATTCCTAATACCTAGCCCATGCATCCCATATCCGATCACGTTTTTTATAACCCTTTAGGGTTGTCCCTTCGGTCCTGCGGAGCAATGGCTCTTTGAGCCTACCTATATTCCATGTACGTCTCAATACCACGAACCACATAACTGCGATAATTAATAGAACAAGAAAAATATATGCTGACAGCGGTGACATCAAAGTGCTTGTCATAACAGGGATCGCTCCTATTCCTCCTATCGGAAGAGGTGAAGCCTCGAGACTAGGTCTCATCTGGGAATTCGATTCAATCAAAGAGGAAGCATAATTTTCCAGCTGTGCAAGGTGCGGAGTTATATTCGGTATTTCTTGGAGTATATTGTTGTTAGTTTTGCTAATACTAGTTCCCTCATTTATCTTAGGGCTGATCTCGGTATCAATTTTTGGTAGTTCAGTAATCTCATCATTGGTATATGTCGAGATATTACCATCGATTTTTTCTATTGGATCCATATTTTTTCCGCGTAGAAAATATTGACTGAGATCTTTACTAGGTTCACTAGACACGTAAATGTCATGATTCAAAGAAGAGACAGAGCCTCAAATCTCTGATTCATCGTCTAATGGCCTGCTTTGCAATACTGCAGATATATCATCAGACTTGGTCATATTTTTTTCGTCATTTCCACCAACTATGGGTTTCAATATAGCCTCCGATTTCAGACACTCAAGTTCATTGACCTTCGATTCCAATTCGCTCTTATATTTTCTAATTCAGCTATTTTGGATTTGAGGGATAATATCTCGGAATCTTTTTTTAGTGAGTCGTTTTGAACTGAAAGCACATCCATCTGAGCCGATTTCAACTTACCTTCCAATATCTTGATCATAGACTCAAGTGATCTAATTTTCTTGGAATTTATATCGTTATCGGCTTTAAAACTTGCAAGAGAAATATCTTTGCTAGCATTTTTAATCTGCAGACGTTTAGTCTCAGCAATAAGCTCCAGATCATGGGCACGTAAATTCTGAATCGCAGTATTGGATTCATCTACTGTCTGACTCCATTTTTTTCTCTCCTGTTCCCAACCTTTCCGTTCACGATCAAACCCCTGATCTTGCTTTATGCACCTGTCTTGTAATTTTTTATTACAAGAATTTAATCCAGATATAACTTTTACAATATGAGATTCTTTATCTTGCACATTGGCCATATATTTTGGCTAAACTATGTGTAATAGAAATAAGATAAATCATAAAATTTCTGATTATTAGAGAATATCCAAAAGATTTCGATTAAATAAAACATACCTTTTACCTGAAACCATTTGTGAAATAATAAATAGTAGAGGTATGCAAAATGCAATATCGATTTTAGCTAAAAAGTATCACATATCTTATACATCTATCCATGATATATGGAAATTTGTGGATATGATAAATAATTAGTACAAATGTTTATACATATTAAAAAAAAAAATAAATATTCTGAAACATATACAAACATTTTGAAACATATACAAACATTTTGAAACATCTCGAAACATTTCGAAACTTTTCTTTATTTTTAATAGCTATAAACAATAGAAAATTTCTGATATGGGTCGTATTCATAAAGAATATTATAGCACTAATGCGAGATTTTTATCAGTTGAGGCAATCAAAGATATTAAAACATCACCCGGTAGAGTACCTGATGCTATAAATTCTATGGCAAAAAAATATCGTATATCCTATGTTCGAGCCAAAGATTATATTGAAAATCGGGAGTGTAAACAACAAATGATATACTCTCATTCATCTCAACCATCTATACTTGTAAATGATTACTTGCCAAACACTGAAATCCCTGGACAAAATATAAATAATGATTTCCATCTCGATTCTCAATCGCAAGACACCAAAATAACTTTGCATAGCTCTGCTGATATTCCAGATAAACAGACGAAAAAGAGGCGATCGAAGTCCAAATCTGTACGAATTTCTGATCCATCCACTAATAGTGATAGCCAACTTGAAAAGGTGTTAAAGGAGGGAGAGGAGCTAATAAAAAGTTCAGATCATATATTAAATAGTCACCCTGTGTCTACCTCCAGTAATTTTTAATCGGTTTTCCTTTTATTCATAGTTTCATATTTTGATTGTAAAAGTCTGTTACGAATATTAAGCTCAGTAATGATTTTGATACCCCTCTCACAATTTACGCATTTTTTTTTAACTCTGTACCTGGCTCTTCAGAAATAGAAGGAATTGCATCAACATGGTGTACCTCAAGCTCATTTTCAACTCTATGCATAGTAACTGGGATGATGAAATCTTTTCCATTGCAATGAAGCTTCATTTCGGATTTAGCCCAATCCATCGCACAATCGTGTTTTTTAAGGAAGGGGTTGCTCAATAACAGCATAGTCTTTGGGTAATCAATAACTGCGAAATCTAAATAAAATACACAGCCAGGAGCTAGGGTTAATGGTACGTTATAAACCATTCCAATAGATTTGGTTAGGACAGTGGCCGCCCCCTTGAAATAAAACGTTGTACTTTTATCAATTTTTAAACCCAAGCGCTCAGCAATGTCCCTAGACATAAGTAAAGTATTTGAGCAAGAATCAACTAAAATTGCCGAGAGTACTAAACGTTTGATTTTACCCTGCACAGTCGCAATATCTATCACATCTTTATCCTGGACAAAGTTAATTTCCATATCTTCGATAACTTCTTCATCCTCGGTATCTTCGCTTTGTTGAGAAGTATCATTTGCGGTACTAGATTTCTGAAAATTTCATAAGATTTTACTTATAGCCTCCTCTAATAAAGCGGAATTTACAAGCTCACTTTGAATAATTTCATGCATTCGTCTCTCTAGTAAAGTTGAAGTGGGATTTTGTACTCGAGGAGAAACTTGAATCTCCTTACCCTCTGAAGAATATGCATCTTTCTTGCCTTTGGATCGGGATTGTTTATCGGATGTCTTCTTAATGAGTACTCTAGGTCGATCTACTTTTTTTTAATTCTGGATACATTAACATTGGATTCCTCATCAGGTACATCATCATCAATTTCATCATTGCCTTCTTG